TTCCTATTAAGATTCTTTGTACTTGTTTCTCAAGAAACTTGGCACTCAGTTGTGTTTATTTGGCTGATTTTTGTTTGGCAAACGTAAGAAACCTCACAGTGGAACTGCTGGATCTCTGAATCCCCGAAAGCTTTCGTTGTCTTTGTTGTTTCTGCCAGGTGTATTTTTAAAAAATTAAATCCACGTCTGTACGCAGTTGTTTTGTAACCTTTAAAAAGTTTTCCTCCAATATGTTTTGCAGACACTAGTTTTATACTTTTTTCTTCTAGATGAGCAGCGGCCAAGGTCTGGTCAAAGTGCTTACAATGCCATTTTCAACACAGTTTTGACATATGCTCAGGGAGGGACAGAAGAAATCCCAAGTGCATTATAGCAAAGAGTTTAGTTTATTTTGTGCCCCCCCCCTTTGTTGCTTCACAAAGATCTCCACACTTGCTGAGTAGGTTTAGGTCCAAGCCATCCTCAGATTTGAAGAATTGTTTACAGTGGAAAATGGAACACTGTTAAGATACTTTGTGGATCTACTGGATGCCTGTTTTACAAAATATCATCCCAAAGGCCTAGAGTTCTATAACCCAAAGGTTTTTCCGTGGACTGGAAGGGGCCTGGTTTTGTGTGCTGCCTGCATCCCACGGATGGGGCTTTGCTTGTTTGTGCGGACCGGTTGCTGGTATGCCCCGGACCGGTACCAGTCCATGGACTGGGGGTTGAGGACCCCTGCTATAACCTTTCCATCTCTGCTTGTATGAGGGAACAAAGGAACTTTGTTAGTATTTGTGTGTGAGTGTGAGTGTGTGTGTGTGTGTTGACAGTAATTTAATCAAGACTTTACTGTAGTGGGTCCATTTGAAATTTGAAAGCATATTGCTGATACAGGTAGTCCTTACGACCACAATTGAGTCCAAAATTTCTCTTCCTAAGCAAGACACATTTTGCCCCATTTTTACGGTCTTCTTGCCACAGTTGTTAAATTAGTAGCACAGTTGTTAAGTGAATTTGGCTTCCCCATTGAGTTTGCTTGCCAGAATTTTGCAAAAGGTGATCACAAGACCCTGGGACACTGCAAACCATCATAAATATAAGTCAGTTGCCAAGAGTCTGAATTTTGATCACGTGACCCTGGGGATCCTGTAATGCTGTGAAAAACACTCATACGTTACTTTTTTTCAGTGCTGTTGTAACTTCCAACGGTCACTAAATTAACTGTTGTAAGTCGAGGACTACCTGTAGAGAACATTATTTTCTGTTGAATTGTATGTCTAGTAGTGTTTTCTCTATTATCAGTGGTAGTCCAGACAACAGCAGATAGTTAACTGATTATTTCAGCAAGACAAAAGAATATTTCTTATTGGAATAATTGGAAGAGTTAAGAATGCCTCTGAGGGCCATGTGAATAAAGATGGTGTGCAGGACTGTAATTTGTTTTACTGTGTGTTGTCAAATGTAGAAATAAAACGAAAGCATCAATTATTGGGTTGGATGTCTGAAGGCACTAGAAGGTTCTTTTTGATAACACCTGAAGAAAACTGATTTGATTTCAGGAGTAGGTTTTAATTTATTATATTTGGCTTAATGCTTTCTTATGGATGTTCAGCCTTCTTTCTGTTGATAAGAAATGCCCTGAACAGACAACCTGGACCATAATCTTGCCAAATGTATAGACAGGCCTGAGTGTGCCTAAAAATAAATTGAGATTTGATTCCCTTTGGAGTTTACCCTAATGTTAAGCTGTACTTTCATACGATGTTAAAAATATCAAATGTGTAGCAAGTCCTTTCATGTGAAAGGAACATTTTAAAAACACTGGTCTTATTTGTTTAATTTTTCCTTCTTACTTACAATTTTACATCCTCTTCGACATAACTGTATGGGCTACTTCCCAAAACAGCAAGATTTTATTTTGCTACTAAGTTGTGAAACAGCAAGTTGAACATTTGTGTATACCTCACTGAAGTTATGTGGTCTTACCATTAAATCAGCATTGTGTTGTGTAATACTCCTTTTTGCTTTTTCACTCCATCACCATCAGATAGCAAATTGACTTGCATCAGTGATCTGATTTACATTAATTGCTTTAAAATGATTAACTGACCTGCAACGGAAGTGGAACAAAAGTTATTTCTATAAATGTTTTTGGAAATATATAAAGGTCAGCAGCAAGTTCTATCTTAAAAGTGGCATTCCCTTTTTCCTCAGACACAGGAACATGGTTATTATCAAACAGGCTACAATATATGTCCATTGCTTGTTTTTACCTGTGCATATGGGTGATGATGATTAATAAACTCAGAGACGTACCGTGCTTAAAACCACATAAGAGAACATAAAAACAGCAGAACACTCAGAGAAATCAAGTTACCAAAAGTTAAATTACCTGATCTCAGAAGCCTTTATAAAGTTTTTACTTCCTGGCAGAAATTAGACAGTTATGTTGCTTAGCGGGTATTCTTAAGGAGGATATTTCCTAACAGCTTCATACATATATGGAACCTAAATAGTTTTGTCCAGTTTCAGGTTTTCTGCCTTCATTATGTCTGCATTACAACAGCAGAGTCAACTAATGCTATCCATGATAGAGGAAGCCTAGTGTCTTGTAGCTGCTTCAGGATCAGAAGATAAACTTTCTCCTCTTGCTATAAAATGGTTTACATCTGGCTATTACCATTTGCCAGTCACTAAATCATAAACAGCGTATGAGCCAAAAATGAGCTTCTCGGTAACAAACCATCTGTTCGATTAAAATTTAAGGATATTGAAAAGATCTCTGCTGAATCAGAGCAAAAGGCAATGTCTGGTTCAGCATTTTGCTCCCCCCAATGAATAAGCCAAGTTTTACAAGAAGTCCACAGCTGGAATATGAATGAAATACTAACTTCTTAGTGATTTTTTTCCAGAAACTGGTACTTAGAGCTACACTGCTTCCAAAACGTGGGATAATAAAATTTCTCTGAGGCAGCTGATAAGAGTATTATCTGTGATTTTGTCCATTCACTTTAAAGCCATTCAAGTTGGCCACCAATTCATTTGTAATAGCAAATGTCATTCTTTAACCATGTATTATGTTAAAAAGTAGTTTCATTTGTTCTGAATCTGCCATCATTTAGCTCCTTTTGATGGCCCAAGGCTCAATATTATGAAAGGAAGAAACTTTTGGAATGTCTCAACAATGGATCCTATCATTCCTCTAGTACATGGATGTCAAACTCACCACATCACGTGACGTGTCGCGACGTATCGTGACTTTTTTCCGCATTGCCAGAGCTGGGGTGGGCCCGGCCTCCGCATGATGCAACCAGCCCATGGGCTGGCAGTTTGATACCCCTGCTCTAGTACAATCAGACACAGGGTAATCGTTAGAAAAACTTATATGCATTGTAAGTAGTATATTTGACAAGTTCTAAACAAAGAGATTTTATTATTACAAGAATAGCCATTTTTCATAGTAAACATTTGCCTGTTTTGAAAGGTCAGATGTAGGCTGCATTATTTCAGTGTTTGTTTTTCTTTATAGCAATATTATTTATGGAACATGAATGGAAGTTCTTGTGTTTCTCTTCTTCCTATATAACTCTTAGCGAGATAGTTAATTTAAGAAACAAAATTGTTTCCTGTAGAGTCTTCGTGGTAAAATTAATAAAAATCAATCATTCAGCCAAAATTAGTTAAATTAGGGGTTTTACTAATTTATACCTTAACTTTGGATGACATAATTTACGTACTGTGTAATAGATGAAACAATTACTCCTTAAGACACCCATAATAAATGACTTCATAATAAACAAACTGACTTGGATCAATGACCTGATTTATAAATAAGGGTACAAGGATTTTAGAAGGCATCCTAATTCACTTTATCTCCAAATGAGCATAAGTTCTAGACTTCTGTAGAATTCTAGTAAAAATAAACACAAATGTGTGTATTAAAAAAAATATAGGCAGTATATAGATCAGTGGTGGTGAACCTATGGCACGGGTGCCAGAGGCAGCACTCAGAGCCCTCTCTGTGGGCACGCGTGCCGTCGCCCCAGTCCTAGGCCTTCAGCTGGGTTTTATAAAACCTTTTCGCTTTAGGCCTCCGCCGCCGTATGCAAAAAAAAAAGGTTCAATCAATCAGTCAATTTCAACTTCTTGCGGGGGAAAAAAAGATCTTGCAAAGTTTGAATTGATTGATTGAACTTTTTAGTCCCACCCAGTCTGCCGTTTACCGCCGCAGCCACACCCACCCAATGGCCACACCCACCCAATGGCCACACCCACCCGGCACCCGACGATGCATAAATGGGTTTTGGGTTGCAGTTTGGGCACTCGGTCTCTAAAAGGTTCGCCATCACTGATATAGATGTATATAAGTAAATTTAAATCCAACCCTTCTTGTCAAGGGGGGTTGGATCAGTGGTGGGATTCAAATATGTGAACAACCGGTTCTCTGTGGATGCTGCTTCCAGAAGTCCATTCTGGGCCTGGGCAACAAAAAATTAGCTACCGGAACTGGCTGAATCTCACCACTGGGTTGGATTCAATCTGCGCCAATTTAGTGCTGACTATTAGTTGACAAGATTCTTGTGTATAGACATAATGAGCAATAAATCAGTTTAACTGGAGCTTAAGGTATGGTCTTGTTTCCTCACACCTGACAGATATCCACTTATTAGATCTAGTTTTAACTTTAAAATTCAGCATGCTGAAGAATCTACAGAAGCTTCCAGATCCTGCATTATAGGTCATATCGCATTATTTTGACATGATTCAAATTTCATTTTCTGATATTTATGTATTAGAAATTATGATCAGAATTTGGATTCAAAGAATGGGTTTGCTGCATGGGTGTTGAAAAATGAGTAAGTCCTAAAATTTTTAATAGTGAATCATTGGTCTACGTTTGGACAAGAAACTCTTCTTGTTTATTTTAATTTACACTGTCTCTCTTGAATGAATATATAAAAGTAATCTTGATCTGCTGTTTGACTTGCTAATTAGATCTTTCTGTTTTTCAAATGCAGCTGATCCAATTGCTCTGGGCTTTCTCATATCTCCGTGGTCTCTTCTGCTGCTTCCATCTGGCAGCGTATCTTTTACAGATAAAAATATTTCTAATCAAGATCTGCAAGCATTCACAGAACCAGAAGTTCTCAAAAATCAGTCATTCTCATCTGTTTCTGATGTTGAAAAGGTACAGCATTTTCACTTCTGATGTATTTCTTTAGACTGCATTTAGAAAAATGAGAAAAGAATGGTAATATAGGTTATTCCAAGGGCTTTCAGACTGCTTTCAGGCTGTGGAGCTTGTTAAAAATTAATTTCTTTCTCAAGAAGCAATGCTCTAGTAATAGAAAATTGACTGAGTGTGTGTTAACTTTTTTGCCGTTAGTCAAAAACAGCAATTATGTAGCTTGTGTTGAAAATCTTTCTCCGTTATCTTAGTATATGCTCTTACGGAAAAGTAAATTGAATTCTATCACATACAGGTAGTCCTCGATTTATAACAGTTCATTTAGTGGCCGTTTGAAGTTACAAGACATTGAAAAAAGTGACTTATGACCATTTTTCACGTTTAGACTGTTGCGGTATCCCTGTGGTCATGTGATCAAAATTCAGATGCTTGATAACTGATTCATAGTTATGATGGTTGCAGTGTCCCGTGATCATGTGATCACTTTTTGCAACCTTCTGACAAGCAAAATCAATGGAAAAGCCATATTCACTTAACAATTGTGGCAAGAAAGGTCATAAAATGGGGCAAAACTCACTTAACAAATGTCTCAATTGTCATAAATCAAGACTACCTGTGTATTATTTATTTAACCTATGTGCATATATTGTTTTGAGATTTGAGAATCAGCATACAAATACATTTAATTAACTAATCATGAAAATATGTAAATTTATGTGACAGTATTTGTAAGGCAAGCTTGGCATTTGTAACAAGCAGTCCTCATCATATAATTTTTATAAGCTTAGGTCATGGTTAGGATGTGGAACATCCATACTGCAGATTAAGTTCTGTGTTTTTAATGTGGCTGTTCCACTAGCAACTTAGGCAAATAATGATAGCCAAGCCGTAATTTGATCATTACATGTCAACTAAGCCTTTAACTGGGCAAATTACATGTATATTTCCATTCCTTGTCTTTAATTTATTTCCATATTTTTCCACTGAAATAGAAGTTGCAGGCAGAGTGTTTTTTTTCTAACACTTTCCCAACACTTTCCAAGTTAAGATAAAATAGTTAAGATAAAATTACTGTTCTAAGACGGAAATTTTTTTGTTTTAGCAAAATCAATACTTTTCCATTAAGCAAACTGTAGTTTGCATTTAGTTTTATCCAGTGAAAAAATAGATTTCAGCCGAAAAATATGCTTATATGTACAGTATATGTGTGTACCTTATACATAGGCATGTGTGTGTATGTATATACATATACACATACATATATATGTGTGTTTCAATTGTTTATGAAAGAACCTTCTCAGTCGAAGTCTGCTTTATTTTCAGCTTTTTTCTTGAAATATGAGTGTGTCCCACAAAAATGCTAGCCACCAAAACCAATTCCCATTTATAATCACCTCCAGGAACACAATGATAGGGTTGCATGAGTCTTTTGGTTATGATTCCCTCTCCAAACCAAAGAAATTGTGTACTTGGATACTTTTCTGGCAGAATGCTAGACAGACAAAGAATGCAGTTTTGGTCACTCTCTAAATTAGAACCAAAAGATAATAGGTTTTAAAATCAGTACCTTTCTTGCTCCAGAAAAGAGAAAGATTTTTTTTTAATGAAAACATTTATGTAAGAAAGCGTTTTGTGCAGCAGCTGTTTCACATGATCCAATACTCATATAGTTAGAAGTCTTTTGGTGCCTTTTCAGAAACACTCCATTTTTTTTTGTCTGCTTCAGTTCTGTCATAAATAAAATTCTTCTTAGAATGTTACATTAATTCCACTGGTATCATTTTGGCTGTGTTGTGTTACAGATCCACATTTATTCTCTTGGGATGACACTTTATTGGGGAGCTGACTATGATGTTCCAGAAAGCCAGGTAAATAGTGGAAAAAAATAATATAATTAGTCCATAATACAGAAACTGCAGACCCAATAACGCGTTACTAACCTAACTCACTCCCCCCCTTTGATGCAAAGCAACAGATCAGATTACTAAAGAAAGGGAGAAGGTGGAAGAACAATGATTAGCTTTCTCTTGACCTTTGAACTCTTGAGTAGAAATGGGAAGAACTGGTTCCAAATTGGGAGTTGTTAAGGAAAGAAAGAATAAGAGGAGAGGCTATCTTAAAAAGTTATATGGCTGCCAAGGAACAAATAGATTGGAAAAATAGTTATCTAGATAAGAAATACATGACAGGGCAGGCCATTAAGACAGTAGCCAGCCAGCCATTTTGAAGCTTGACAGTGAAATACAGTATCTAAATCTAAATACTGTACATGCATAAAAATATTACAAGCTCATAAAAATATCAGGTAAGGATACACCCAGAATGAGGAGAATATAAATGAATATATGTATTGTGCTTTTCCAGCAGAAAACACAAAGATCAGCTAGTAAGTCCAGAAAAAATATTATGTCCTTCCCACGAGCATGGGAGTTGTCCTTTAATTGTAAACTCAATTTGCTACAGATATCCAGGCTGTTTGCATCCTTACTTCTGATCCTCTTTTTATAATGTTTCTGTACTATGGCATAGTATATCTTAAGAAAAGCTCAAATTCACATATGTTTGTAGATACTTGGTCGATCCAATTGTCAGGTGATAACTTTCATGGACAAATAGTTCAGCTAGGAAATATTCTAATTTCCTAATAGTAAGATCAGTTACCTGTGGAATTTGTGAATTCTTTACAGGATATGTTCAAAACTATTAGGGATATTTTCAGTTAGTTTCTTAGATGGAATAGCAATTAAATGGGTGGTTAAAAGGTCTCTTTCCACCAATTCTATGGTTCTCCTGGTATATGATTTCACAATTGTTGAAAAGTGGACCCTTGCTTTACTAAAGAAAAGACTCAGACAGCCATTCAGCTAAGATTTTAGTTTTATGGATTTTACCTTGCTGTGTGTTATTAGTTGCTGATCTTTATGAACCGCCAAAACCCACTGAGGTGAACCTCAGATTAGTTTCTTAAAATAAATAATGATGTATTTTTGCAGCCAAGCTATAGTAGCCCTAGTCCAGGGGTAGGTAACCTTGGCTCTTTTATAATTCATGGACTTTTTATAATTCATGGACTTCAACTCCCAGAATTCCTGAGCCAGCCAATTCCTGCTGGCTCAGGAATTCTGGGAGTTGAAGTCCACGAGTCATAAAAGAGCCAAGGTTGCCTACCCCTGCCCTAGTCCATCCTTATTTAATAGAATATAAATTACTGATTTTTGGATTTTAATTTTTTTAACAAAACTCTTAGTAATATACATAAATAGTGCTATTTCAGTGATTCATTGCAACACCGATTGATTGATCATGTGCTATCAAATCACTGTTACACATAGAAGATGGTTAAGACAGAGTGTACATGTGGAATTACAAACAACATAGGAGCTAGCTGAACAATGGAATCCATTACATAGGGTAACACTAAATGTGTATGATGAACTCACTGAATTTAAAGTTGTTAGCTCTTTTTAAATACAACTTTCTGTTCTGTTGAGAATGGAGAGATGTTTCAAAACTCTCTTAAACTAATTTGGTTGAGTCTTCCTTGGTCTGGTGTCTTCCAGATATATTGGACTAGATGAGGGAAATTGAAAACAATATATCTCGGCACAAAGTTTGGAAGGTTTCAGTGAAATGTGTGAAAGTGAGAAAGACAAGGAGACAATAACTGGATTTTTTATCATACGTGTGTTTTTTTAATATCAGCCAATCAAACTTGGAGATCATCTGAACAGCATTCTCCTTGGTATGTGTGAAGATACTGTTTATGCTCGTGTATCTATACGGACCGTTCTTGACGCCTGCAGTGCTCACATACGGAACAGCAACTGTGCACCTTCTTTCTCATATGTGAAACAATTAGTCAAACTGGTTCTGGGGAGTTTGCCTGGGGTAAGTGTTTACATTTCCTTCTATCACCTTGAATGGAGTCACTGAAAATAAAAATTCCTGTGCTTGTCATCACCATCATTTCTTGCGGGATAGCATGACACTTGGGCTTAAGTAGTTCCTAAAGCTGAGATTGGCAAAACACTGTAAAAAATTCAGGACTTACTCACTGTCTCTTTGGTAAAAGCCTCGTTCCCTGTCCTGATCATCCATCAGTGTGGTGGAATGTAGTCTGGATTCCCAGGAGGGAAAGGCTGCTTTCCAGAGGCAGCAAAGTTTGGAAAGTTTGGTCAGCAGAAAGCTCCTCCCTTAACTTTTCTTAGAATATATGTCAAGCACGAAGAATCAGGACCACGTGTTAAATTCCAGTTAAGCTGATTTATGCCTATACACAGGAATCTAGTCAGCTGACAGTTAGTGCTAAATGGGATAAGAATTAACAGAATTCAAGAGGGGCTGGACTTGGATGGCCTGTGCGAATGTAACACCTCCAGGCTGATTCCTCTTTTGACTCTGCCCCCAGGATCCTGATGACATTGCCAAAATCTTGCAAAATGGCAATATTACTGAGATTTATATTATTATTTATTTATTTATTCGATTTTTATCCCGCCCTTCTCCTTACCGGACTCAATATGCTGCTTCACAGTGCTTTACAGCCCTCTCCCAGGGGTTTATAGAGTCAGCATATTGCCCCCAGCAATCTGGGTCCTCATTTTACTGACCTCGGAAGGATGGAAGGCTGAGTCAACCTTGAGCTGGTGAGAATCGAACTGCTGGCAGTCTGCAGAATTAGCCTGCAATACTGCATTCTAACCACTGTGCCACTGCGGCTCTTGTAAAACTGTTAAAAGTTGGCAATGCTGTGAGAATTCAGCCATTTAAATCTATTTCAGTTCATCACACAGTCAGCCAGATGTTCAGGCTCGATTTGGCATTTTTGTCCACCTTTTGAGTCCTTCCCAAGGACCTAGGATAGGGCAGATGTGGATGTTTGAAGGTGTTATAGATATCGTCCCAGGATGGAAGCTGTTTCCAGTAAAGCTGCCTTTTGCAGTTGACTGATGGTGAATTTGTCAATATTAATGATGTTCAGTGGTGCCCCAAATGTTTTGTCACTGTACCAAAAGCACCTTTTGCTATGGTACTACCCTTGTTTTCTTTTGCCAGGTCTACTTGCATTCTATTCTATTTGCAGATCTTTATATTATTATTATTATTATTATTATTATTATTATTATTATTATTATTATTATTATTATTATTATTATTATTATTATTACTGTTAATTTGCCTGCATCACTGCTTGGAATGATTTGTACTGAATCATTTTGAAAAGTCTTTCATTCTGAGGATGCTAGACAAAGGGACTTTAATTAGCAAGCCATTAAATTATTGTACAGACAGTGAGAACACTGCCAGTTAAATTTGTAACCCCTTTCAAGAGCCAAGGCAAATAATTTCAATTAATACGAGTTAGTCAAAATTCTGACCAAGGTTCCCTTTTATTTATGTTGAGGAATCTGTCACACTCCATTAGTAGCTCTCGCTACTTTAATTTCTCTCAACTTCTTCTTGAATCTTGCAGTTATTAGCTTTTTTCTTTTCTTTCTAATCATATGTTCTGTAAAGATGTGAGAATCTGGGAAAGAAATTTGCAGAAGCTGCAATTAGAGCCCCACCTTTTAGATAAGGATTGTTCTTACAAGTTCTGGCTGTGAGTCATTGCTGTTCTGGACAACTGGTTTCTCACACCTTTCCAAATCACTCTGCCCCAGAAGTTCATCTGCTCATTTTAGTCAACTGGATGTGTGGTTTAAGGAATGTCCCCCAAAATAACATTTTTCCATTAAGTTGATTGTAGTAGGAGAAGGACAGGCAGAACTTGGGGGTAGAGTTAAGAGAGGAATCAGCCTGGAGTCATTACATTTCCACAAGTGGTCTAATCCAGTCCCTCTTGAATTCCATTAACTCTTATCTAGCACCAGTTTAGCACTGACCATTAGTTGATGAGATTCTTGTGTGTAGGCATGGGAAATAAATCAGCTTAACCGGAGCTTAATGTGTGGTCCTGATTCTTCGTGCCTGACATTAATAAAGCAAATAGCACTTGCATGTTCCTGTTATTGATTTAATTTGTTATATTAGGCTTATGGCAGCATGCAACATAAAAACATAGTTAAAATGCCCACAGTAAAAAAGACACACAATGTATTTACATAAATTAAGCAAAAGCCACAACACAATGTTTATTACTAGTAAAATAGCTAATAAAATCCCATTCCAGATGGTGCAGTCTTTCTCCAAGACCACCCAGAAGAATGTAGTTTTTACTACCTTCTGGAGGGCCCATCCCAAGGACATCAGACCAGCTTCTAGAACAGTGGTTCCCAACCTTTTCTATACCCCACACCCCTAGAACACGTCTGATATATTCTCGCACCCCTTACAAAAGTTCAAAATAACGAGAACAAATTATGCATATACACTATAATTTTGAAACTTCTAAACCCAGGTTTTCGCACCCCCTGGAATATCATCTCGCACCCCCAGAGGAACCCCTATTCTAGAGGTTTTAGAAGCCAAGATTGAAAAGCTGTCTGCAGCACAGTTTTTGTCCTATCTGTAGCACAAATAGCTTCTACTAGGAGCATTTTTTCACATAGCTAGGTTCTGATAGGGAAGGCAGTCCTTTAGATACGGGTCCTTTATAAGTCAAAAGCAGCACTTTGAATTATACTCAGAAACTCTTTCCAGAAGGTCTGTTTACACAATTAATTGGTTCTCACAGACCTGTTAATTGCGGCATAAAACTTTCTTTAGATTTATATCTGCAAAAGTCACTGAAGATAAGTATCGTGTCTTTCAGTTGTACTGGAAACATGCATCTAATATGATCAGATAACTGTATGTATTACTTTCTGTTTGTTTAATTAGAAAATTAAAATTAATTTTAATTTAATTTCTAAATTAATGTAATTTAGAAAATTACACATTCCAAAGCGCAGTCATGGCTCTGGCTTTGTTAACAGGAAAGTTACATTCTTTGAACATGCTACATAGAAGTGTATCATCCTGAGAGTTGACAAAAGTTGTGTGCTTCCAGTATGCAGCATTACGGTTCAGTTTGCTTCCTCAGTAGCAAATCTCATTTTTTGCTGCTTGATAATTCAATCTTCATTTTAATTTAGGCTGTTTTCATTTCTTTTTTTTTATTCTGGTTTTGTTTTATTAAAATTTTGTCAATTCAGAATAAAAGGCAGGCAATGATTAAATAAATGAACAATAAATAAAAGATGTTAGCTTCTTTGCCAGTTTGTTCATTTTTTTATATATATATATTTCTTCCAGAGATTCAGGACAGCTTACTTGGTGGTCTCCATTTTATCCTCAGTTCTTCAATCAGAACTGAAGAAGCTTCTTGGATGAGAAGCAAAATGTTGTCAAGGAAAAACAAAGTCCAGTTGTAATTGAAAAAAGCATCTTTGGGACATAATTTAGGAAGGACTGCAAAAGGAGGGCAGACTGCGGCTTATTATGCTAAGCTACAAACCAGCTCACTGTGGTTAAAGCAAATCATAAGTCAGGAAAAATCCTGCTGTTGCACAAGCCATGATTAAAACATTCCATGGCTGACGCAGTGCACAAATCATATATATGTGGATAGGTGGATATTGAAGGATAGTTTTATTAGGCTACCTGAGTTTTAATCGTTTTAAGTTTCTACTTTCAGTGGATGGAAGAGTGTTTGTCTAGTGCAGTGATGGCGAACCTTTTAGAGACCAAGTGCCCAAACTGCAACCCAAAACCCACTTATTTATCGCTGGGTGCCAGGTGGGCGTGGCTGTGGTGGTCATGGCAGATTGGGTGGGTGTGGCCAAGATGGGCATGATCACCTCGATGTTGCTCATGGGGAGGAACATCTGTGGGGGCTGGGCAGAGTTGGGGGAGATCCAGGGGGTCTCTGGCAGGTGGGGCGGTGGGCAGGAGGCTCGTCCTGTGGGGTGAGGCAAGGCGAGGCAGGGCGGGGGTGCCATTGTCACAGGGCAAGGTGAAGCAGGGGCTGGGGCAATGGCTGCCTGACACCATCAGCCCCTGCACACAGAGGCCAGCGAGTGCATGGGTGCTGGGATGCAGCCAGCCACGTGGGACCTTGGCGAGTTACTGGGCGGCTGGTTGCCATCTCCAGGGCATGGCACGCGTGCCCACAGAGAGGGTTCTGAGTGCCACGCGTGCCATAGGTTCGCCACCACTGGTCTAGTGAGTTTATGCTAGTCTGACTTTTTTTAGCTCTTCATGTTCTGCCTTTTTGTTGCAATAGGTAGACCAGCTTCCTTGCACAGGGGACAAAAAACTTCACACAGACAAGAGCCAGGCCATTCGAGAGAGGCTGAGAGGAAAACGGCTTCCCACAGGTAAAGGTTTATTTACAAAGAAGGAAACATTAATGGAATGGAAATATGACTGATATTTAATCTTCCACCTCCTAGATTAGTCCCATAAAAGCAGCAGAGCGCCTCCTAACGTTATAACCAGCATAATAGTTTCACAGGTTATCTCTTCACAGATACTCCTAATAAATGGCCTGATGATACGGTAACCAATCTGAACAGAAAGGAGGTAGAGGCCATGAGTTGTGAAGAATTGGCTATAAAGCATCTTCGTTGCTTTTCAGGGAGATAACTTAGGAACAAAATAGATGAGATATTTTTCTGATATCTTTTGTTAAGATAAAAAGGCCTGTGGGAAAGATGAGGTAACCTTTTCTTTCACAGTTAAAAAGGTAAAGGATTCCCTTGTCCACCCATGTCTGACTCTAGGGCAGGGGTAGGCAACCTTGGCTCTTTTATGACTCGTGGACTTCAACTCCCAGAATTCCTGAGCCAGCATAGCTCAGCTTGGAAACCTCTCCCTTTCCCCTCAGCATGGCTGGCTCAGGAATTCTGGGAGTTGAAGTCCACATGTCATAAAAGAGCCAAGGTTGCCTACCTCTGCTCTAGGGGGGCAGGTTCATCTCCGTTTCTTAGATGAGGGAGCCATCATTGTCCGAAGATCCTTTCCATGGTCATGTGGCTGGCATGACTACACGCCAAAGGCGCATGGAATGCTGTTTCCTTCCCAGCGAAGTGTAATCTATTTATTTACTTGCATTTACATGCTTTCAGACTGCTAGGTTGGCAGGAGCTGGAGCAAGTAACGGGAGCTCAGTCCATCCTGTGGAACTTGGTCTCAAACTGCCAGCCTTCTGATTGACAAGCCTGATGTCTTAATTGCTCCTTTTTCACAGTCAGCCCAATAAAAATTCTCCTCCCTTATTCCCTACCTTGACTGTTGGCTGTGGAAAGGAAGCTTCCGTTCACACTAATGGTAGCTTTTTATCTGAGTGCGAGCAACTGAGGGGGAAGGTTTTTTTTTTCCAGTCAAAACCACTCCTCAAATCTCTGTCCTTTTGAGGAACTGAACTGCTTTCATCCACTTAACATGTCATCTAATTTGATCTTAAGCTAAGACAAGTGTTGAGTTTGATCTTAAGTTAATGCAAGTGTTAAGTGTTTCACACTCTCTATTCCATATTCCACATGCTGGGATGAAAGGATGTCTCAGGCTTTAGCACATTCATTCATGCACAACCATCTCTGATATATGCCCATAATTGCACATATTTATGTATGTTTGGCATGAGATGCGTTACATAAACACACACACACACACACACAACTCTAATGTAATTTGTCTTCTATCACACTGTTAGAGGCACATGTGCTTTTTAAATAAATGACAGTTTTTTTCTCTTTGTTATGATGGTGTATTGTAAGAAAGTGGGAAGGACACATGTTTGGCCTAGGATTTTGCCCTCGGAGTAGCCACAACTTTTGGAGGCAATTCTTTCCACTGATTAATTGTTCTAACTATCAGGACATTTATCCTTAATTCTAGTTTGCTTTTCTCCTTGATTAGCTTTCAGCCATTGCTTCTTGTCCTGACTTCAGGTGCTTTGGAGAATAGCTTGACTCCCTCTTCTTTGGGGCAGACCCTGAGATATTGGAACACTGCTATCATGTCCCCCCTGGTCCTTCTTTTCATTCAACTAGACCAGGGGTAGGCAACCTTGGCTCTTTTATGACTCGTGGACTTCAACTCCCAGAATTCCTGAGCCAGCATAGCTGGCCCAGGAATTCTAGGAGTTGAAGTCCACGAGTCATAAAAGAGCCAAGGTTGCCTACCCCTGAACTAGACATACCCAATTGACTATAATGGTACATGTTTAAATTAATTGTACATCTTTAAATTTAAATAAATGTAATTGAGGTTACTATTACAGTCATATGATATTTGATTTTATTATAATTCAATGACTTAATCAATGGTTAAATATGTTATTACTTAATTATTATCTAATAAAATTACTAATATATAATAAAATCTTATGAGGTATGTTACAAATACATTCCTTCAAACCAGAATCTTGAAAACTAATGGTAACTTGAACTGAAAAAATGAATGGTAATTACCTGAAAAAATGAGGTATCCCAATTAATTAATAAGAAGAAAGAATGAACATGGAAAGTAGGTACACAATTCTAGGGCTTTTTCAACTCCACTCTATTGCAATATACAGTATGTTGTTGCTACTCCATTCTTATTCATTTGTAAACCACCCAGAATCATTTAAGTGAAATGGGTGATTTAGAAATTCAATGAATTCGTCTTTGGTGTACCTTCATGGAGATTCATTAGGTTTTTTTTTATTTATTTTTTGCCTAAAACAGCTGTTGTGTTCATTTTTACCATGGCAAAACCAATTTATTAAGAATAGCTTTTGCTGTTTCCTTGAATGTTTAGTTGCATCTTCATTTACAGGCTAATTTAAGATCTACGCTGTCATAGCTTCTACTGCCCAAATCCTCAATAGCCATTTGATAATGTTTTCTTTTTTATCTTGAGGTCTCCCAATCCTGAAATATTGAGAATATTTTTAATCCTATGATTTGTCCTGAATTTTTAGTAATGTGAATATTCACCCTAAAGCTACATAAAGGGAAAATAAAACAAATTTGTTTACCTACACATACCACCTATATATTCCTTCATACTTTATATATTAATGTGGATCATCTATCTATCTATCTATCTATCTATCTATCTATCTATCTATCTATCTATCTATCTATCTATCTATCTATCTATCTATCTACCTACCTACCTACCTACCTACCTACCTACCTACCTAATCTATCTATCTATCTATCTATCTATCTATCTATCTATCTATCTATCTATCTATCTATCTATCTATCTATCTATCTATCTACCTACCTATCTACCTATCTACCTACCTATCTACCTATCTATCTATCTATCTATCTATCTATCTATCTATCTATCTATCTATCTATCTATCTATCTATCTACCTACCTAATCTATCTATCTATCTATCTACCTATCTATCTATCTATCTATCTATCTATCTATCTATCTATCTATCTATCTATCTATCTATCTATCTATCTATCTATCTATCTATCTATCTATCTATCTATCTATCTACCTACCTACCTACCTACCTACCTACCTACCTACCTACCTACCTACCTATCTACCTATCTATCTATCTATCTATCTTGAATAATAATGTAATTTTAAGAGAAATTAAAATGGCATGTCCTGGATCAGTCTTTCTCAAACTTGGCAATTCTTAAAAAGTGTTGAGTTCAGCTTCGAATATTCCCTATCCAGCATGTTTTATTTCCAAAGAAAATAAAAAAAAATCAATATAAACAATTTCATGAGCTGAAAGTGAAAAATGTTGAAACATTACCAGAGAAAAGGTTGATAATGTCCATTAACTTCATTGTGACTAGTTGAATGAAATTAATATGAGATTTTGTTATCATTGGTTGTTGTTAACATGTAATGTGATTTATTAAGGGTTAGATAACAGCCTCAGCTGTTGATGGATTTCCCAGTTGACACTTTGTCAATAAAAGCTATATTTATCTCTTGGACAGAATTGAATTTTGTCCTTCTAATGTATCCTTTGACTCTTTCTTATTTGGAGCAATATGAAAATTAGCAGTTCCTATTTCTCTGAAACACTCCTTATTATGAAGAAGCCATCAGAATGAGATTAAGAATACCAAGTGCTATGTGGTACTGCTTGAATAAATTCAAATGTTGTGAGCTGATTTGTTTAAGCACTTTGTGGAGATACTTTAATGTTGATATACAGAATGACCAAGAAGCAAAGCAAAGAAAGTTAAGTTGGTCCACAGATTGAAGGAAGGAAGGAAGGAAGGAAGGAAGGAAGGAAGGAAGGAAGGAAGGAAGGAAGGAAGGAAAGATTTAGCTTTTTTTTGAAAACCTGTATTTTTCAGGATAAAAAAAATGGCATACTATAGTTCAAGAGAATATTATTTAAGATGTTATAGTTGATAAGAAGCAATGTAATTTCTTTTGAATGCACAGAATTATTTTCATTGGTTTGATATTCAGCTGATCATTAGAACTTAACCCAAAAAAAAATGCCCTAACTTTAAAAGAGTTTGTATCCAATCCAATTCTTCTAGAAAAGTTGACAATTAGGAAGGGTTCAACTACATCCATATCCAAGAGAGATTCTTCTCATTCTCATTCCAGGAAGAATGACTGATGCAGCAGCTGGTTACCAGGCCCCATTTTCTCAACAAACCGTGCTTAACAAAGGGCTTAGTAAGTCATTGGAGTTCCTGTCAATCAGTGACTCACGAGGTGAAAAGGAGCTTTCTCAAAATATTGCGTCTGATTACAATTCTGGCCATGAAGACAGTACAGATACTTGCTGTCCTTACCGATTCAGAGCTTCCAACCTGGAAAAGAAAGCCAACAGTGATCCCAAACGCAAAGTATGGGCTTCTTCCTCTGATCTGTTGTGCACAACTCACAAAGTCACAGAGGGAGACTATGCCGCAGATTCTCATAAGCACCATCATCAAGGCGGAACCATTTCAGGGCGGACTTCAGGAGCTCTCAGAAACAAAGAAAGCAGATATTCTGATGGGAGCATAGCCCTGGATATATTTGGCCCTCAAAAACTTGACCAAGTGCTTCATGTATCAGAGACCTCAACATCAGCAGCCTTATTATGTGCCTTTGACAGGATCAAAGAGAAGCAGAAGAAATTGCAGTTGCTGAGAGAAGCCATGAATGTAGAAGGTCAGTAGTTTTTTCTACATATTATATTTGACATGTGACATCCTTCACATTGTCAAAATAATATATGTTTGTGTGAGAGAGACATTTCCTATTTTGCAAATTTGGTACTGAACTAGTTTCCGGGCTGGTGCTCATCTCTGTTTCTTAGCCAAGGGAAGCAGTGTTGTCTAAATGGTCATGTGGCCAGCAAGACCTTCCCACCAAAGTTTATGATCCTATCACCAAAGTAGTACCTATTTACCTACTCACATTTGCATGCTTTTGAATTGCTAGGTGGGCAGGAATTGGGACAAGTAACGGGAACTCACCCCATTGTACAGCGCTCACGTCTCGAACCCGGGCTGTTAGCTTTCCAGTTGAGGAGCTCAATGTCTTTAACCACTGAGCCATTGTACTCCCTTAGTGGAAGGTATATAAGAAAAAACTAAAAACAGTTTATAGAGTACATGAATCCAATAGGTGTTTCCACACTTGTTATATTCTGTTTGCCCTGGAATTTATGATACAACCCCTTTTCTCCATGATTCCTTAAATCTTTCAGCTTTGTCAGTTAGCTAAGTATGATCCTGCAGAGGTTTCCAGATTGCAGTTCCTGTTAGACGAACTAGGGAGGTCTACAGTATGGTGAGATTTCAAGTCCCCACATCCCTGAATTAGAAGTTGCAGCAATCTTAAGTTAAATATACCTAGGTTTAGATATAATCTAGTTTAAAGACCATTTGCAAACATTGTGTTCAATATCTTGAATCCAACTTGGGGAGTGTGTGCAGAATCCTGGCTAGCATGAACAAAAGTTTAGCTCTTGACATTGACACTGGAATCTCAGTAGAACTTCATCTAAACTCAAATGCAGAAAATAACAGTTTTCTCCAGCTGATAATTCAACCAAAGAAATGAAGAATAGTTTTCCAAGAACACAAAAGCTCAAATAAGTAGGTATATTGTAGAATATATGTGAAACTGTCAGAAAAGCAAGTACTGTGTATCAAATACAAGTTCTGTTTATAATAAAATTAATACTCAAAATTCTCGTGCCCAAAGAACAAAAAAAGCCTAAAAATGTTCTTTTTGGGGTAGGAAGCCTAATTCCAGCCATTTCCCAGATAGATTTGTTATTAAGCCACATACTTTTAACCATGCGAAAATTACCACATAGTAATTCCAAACAATGAAATTATTTTTTGTCATTCTGATATCAGGGTCTGATAGTAAAAGTGCAATTCGTTTTACAACTACCTAAACTTTATTTAAAACAACAGCAACCCGAACTTTAACCCAACAATAATTTCTACTACAGCAGTCCCACCAATAAAAATAAAATTGGCCTGTATTGTTTCAGGTGGAGCCCAAAGCACAATTGTTCAAGTGAAACAAAATCCAAGTATTTCTATTCTTTCAATTTTGAGACATTTGGAAAGGAAGGAATAATTCTGGTCAGTTTTGGCTCTTGACTCTTGGAGATGATGACTTTGCTAGCATCATTCATTCATCCTGGAACTCTGTGCATTGCATTATTTTGTGTTCTTTTCTTTATAAAGACTTCATTTTAAAAGGCAAAAAATTGTATTTGTTTATTAAATTTGCTGTGTTGGTAAGCTAAGCTAAGCATAAGAGTTGCTCTGTGTCTTTATATGCACACACAAACACACATCTCAATAATAATAATAATAATAATAATAATAATAATAATAATAATAATAATAATAATAATAATAATAATAGTAATAATAATAATTAAAAAAAAGTTGGAAGGTACCTTGGAGGCCATCTAATCCAACCCCCTGCTCAGGCAGGAAACCCTATACCATTTCAGACAAATGGCTGTCCAATCTCTTCTAAAAAACTTCCAGTGTTGGCGCATTCACCGCTTCTGGAGGCAGGTTGTTCCACTGATTAATTGTTCTAACTGTCAGGAAATTTCTCCTTAATTCTAGGTTGCTTCTGTCTTTGGTTAGTTTCCATCCGTTGTTTCTTGTCCTGCCTTCAGGCGCTTTGGAGAATAGCTTGCCTCCCTCTTCTTTGTGGTAGCCCCTGAGATATTGGAACACTGCTATCATGTCACCCCTCATCCTTCTCTTCATTAAACTAGACATACCTGTTCCCTATGATCAGTCCCCTGATCATCTTTGTTGCTCTTCTCTGTACTATATTTCCTGGATTGACTTATTTGTTCTGTAAAGACATCAACACCACGGTTATGTAATAATTACATAATTGATAACAATTACATTCTGGAAATATACTTGATCAAGGGTGTGAAAACGGATCCAGTTATACATGTACAAACCTCCTTTAGAGCTTTCATACATTTGTTAAGGAGCACTGCCTAGGAATATGGTGGAGAGAGAATAAAGGTAGAGGTAAAGGTTTCCCCTGTCCAGTCATGTCCAACTCTAAGGGGCACTGCTCATCTCCGTTTCTTACCCGAGGGAGCCAGCATTGTCCGAAGACACTTCCGTGGTCATGTGGTCAGCATGACTATATGCCAAGGCACACTAAACACTGTTACTTTCTCATTGAAGTGGCACCTATTTATCTACTCTCATTTGCATGTTTTCAAACTGCTAGGTTGATTGAATAATATAAGAATCTGGATACTGGTCAAATTAGCCACTTAGCAAACCAAAAAGCAACACGTTAAAGCCAGAAATCAAAATGTAATAATTATCCTGTTCCATAATACTTCTGTTCTATAAGGTTATCACTTGCAATTGACTCTCTAAGATAGCTACCTCAGAATCTAAATTCAGCCCAGAGAGATTCAGAATTGATCATGTTTTCACTGATTAACTTAACCTCGATATCTTCAATGACTTTTTTTTCCAAAATTCTATGCTTATCTGCAACCACATGCCTCTCAGGTTGACCATCCCATGCTCTGATGAATGAATACATAAATAAAACTTGATGAGTGTTGCTTGTTTCCATTGTCTATCCTTGTTCAGGGGTTACAGATAGAGCTTGATGTTCCCACAGTTAAGTCAATTCTGTAACATCACCATCTTCTTTGTATCATGAGAATAATTTGGTACACATTGTATGCTAGATCCAGGATTTAGCTAAACAGGATGCTGAAGTTGTTATTACTGTGCTAATTACCTCTTCCCAGTCTTTCATGCTAGCTTCACAATACCCAATTACATCTGTAATTGCTGTCTTTCTATATAAAAATAATGCATAGTTAAACTTATAATATTATAATAATTACTTCTCTGCAGCAGGGAATAAAAAAACAACTATTACTATTTTAGTTAGGCTAACCATTCCTTCACCTTCACCAATAATTTAAATGTTTTAATTCTGTTTTATTTTAGAAGACAAATTCTCGGTTTCACAACATGTTTGTGGTTTTGTGGATGCGCAAATCTGACACTATATGCAAAATATATTGCTTACCAAGCAACATTTTTCTCATTAAATCCAGTGGTTATTAGATCTGATTTAATGTGGTTTGGGCAGCTGTAAAACTTTAGACTTGGAATGTAGTTTATTGCTTATTGAATAAGCTAGCAGGATTGGGGGCTGTTGCTTCAGAAGGATTAGGGTTGAGAGAAGAGAAGCAGATTTTTTTTCCTCAGTCAACCCTTCCTAATTCCACATGTCAGAAAGTTTATATGATTTTGGCCCAGTTATAATATGTCATTTCTCATTAGAATGGATTTTATAATATTTTAAATAACTTTATGACATTTAAAAATAACACCATTAATATGTTTTTATGAACACATTTTTCTTCATTCAGAATGTAAAAAACAAATGATTTAAAGCTTCATTAAACTAGTAGCTGTATTTATCTTAGCTATAAAAGAAATACATCCAAATTACAGTCAAAAGGAACCATCCGTCACATTCTTTAGACCTGGATTGTCAGTGCCCTCAATACTAAACAGGTCTAGGTTTCTGCCAGCTTTCTCTTCTTGGAACGACAAACTCTCCATCCCTTTAATAATTTGATGACTGGTCATCATGAAGTGAAGAAAATCTTCATAAAATGTCATGAAGACCCAGATAATTTGGAGAATAGATATGCATCCTAGTCCTAGTCAACGATGCCAATTTAACATATCTTGTTTTCCACTGTAATCTGTAGTGGGGGATCTCTTTAGTCAGGATATTTGCCAAAATGTGTGTTTTTATGGCAGGGGGAAAAAAGAAGAAGCTTGAAATGAATTAATGATTTATGCTGTGGTAAATGAATACTGAAAATCCTTGTTTTCTTTTATTTGGATTTTGTTTTTATTATCTTGCACATGTTGAAATGAAAACCAAGCTTTAAAAAATGTACAATCCGTTTTTTAAACAGCAAAAGGGTGATTAGAGCTTTTTTTGTTTGTTTGTTTGGGAAAATTACAAACGGACTGAGGATCCAGATGGATTTGAAACGAGATTTTGGAATTAATTACAAGAATCCCTGCCATGGGAAAATGCTTTTGTTTTGAATTCTTAAAAGTAACATAATAAGATTTTAAAAATTGGACATTGAAGAGAAGAATTAAAGAATATTTACATTTGGACATATTGAAGGATATTTTTGAGCAGTGGACCCAGAAGTTAATTTTAAGAGAGCTAGATAGACTGTTTAAAAGATGTTGTAGCATAGGAATAAGTTTTACCTGACAAGATTGAAAATGGATTTAAAAATGATTTGCTAGAAGAATGACATACAAAATAAACTGAGTAATGTTTTAATAATTAATATACAAATAACTAAAACAAGAGAGTGACCTGGATAATTTTCATATTCACATTTTGTATATGATTTACAAGAGAGGCTTGTTAAAACTTTGAGGAATTTTGTGAGAAGAAACAAAAAATATTGAAAAGAAATGAAGTTCTAGGACATTATTTGAAGGGAATAGAAATCAAGATTGTTAGAAGTAAAAGGAAGGAATATAAAGTTGGTTTATTTGATCAAGGTTGAAATATACACTTTGTTATCTCTGGTAACCCTTAATGTACTTTCGCTGATACCAGGACTGAAATGACAAGGCTTTAAGTGTTTGTTTATAGACAAGAGATGGGAAAAATAAATCACTTGCTGTATTTTAAGATAAATTTATAACTCACTAAAATTGTTTATACTTGTTGCAATGAAGGTGAAAATAATTTCTTTATATATTTATTTTTATTTACTATATTTTTTCTATTTTTTGCACATCCTATTTTTTTCTTTTTAATTGTTTCAATTGTAATTTTAAATAAAATTACTATACAAAGAAAGTGAGAGAAGGGATAAATGTTTTTGCACAGAGTCTTTTCATTACTTACTTATTTCTAACTACCTCTGCACCTAGAATTCTAGTTCTAATCAAGTTTGAGAATGCATTGTCAGTTCCTAAGGATTCTGAAAATTGATTAACTTTATAGGTAGGCAGCCTATCTCAGAAATTATTCTTTTACAGGAAAAATAATATTAAAAACTTACATCAAAGACACTCAGTACTTTAGCAAATGACTGAAATTATGATTTGCCTTTACAAACATAAATGTTAAGGATACCAATTTGGGCCAATATTCCTTCCTAGTTTTCTTTTCGTTTAAGTAGATAATCTTTCATCCAAAACGTATCTAGTGAAATGCAGACATCGTTTATGAAAAGGTCACTTTGGTTTAGGAAATATTTTCATTTTGGACAGTGCAGAAACAGTTTTCAACACCACTAATAATGGGATGTACAAGGCAATCCTCTACCTACCAGGAAAAATTATGTACTCCTATTGTGGAAGAAGTCAGTGACTGCATTAAACCCTGGATAAGCTTTGTTCTCTTCTGTTTCTTTACAATTCTTTCAGAGCACGTACGAAAATATAAATCTTACCATAGTGATGTATGCAGCACTGACAGTGAGGGCCCATCATTCATTTCTTCAGAGACAGATTTTAGACAAGGTAAGAATTATGTGGTAATTGGCCTTCAGTTGGTGGACTATCTGTGTTAGAAATGATGCTCCATTGTCATTGGTGATGCTGACAGTATTATTTTATTTTTTTCATTTCCATGGTTGCTGCTTAAGAATGGATGTATATAGATAGTACTCATACTTAGGCAGAGGGGGAAAAAATTAAAATAGTTCTTTGGTTTTTCTCAAGTTTTGGGAGGGTGGTGCTTAGCCATGCTTAGCAATTTTGGGTATCTGAGGTTGGCAGTGGATTGAATGATAAAACAAATGTGAGGCTTTATTGTTATCATCTTATTTTTATACTGTCATTTTTTCTGCACAAGGCCAGAGCAATTTACAAAAAAGGAGTACAAGCAGTGTTAAATAAAATCATCAGGATAAAATTAACAATTCTTAAAAATGATAAGTACAAAAAATACAAGTGTAATTTAGAAAAATATGTCGGTAGGAAATCTAAAATATAATCTGGTCCTTAAGTTGACTGGTATCCTATAAATCTCTGGGCAGAGATGAAAGTGAAGTTGCTAGGCAACTTTCCCCTGAAGTGCTGGCATTGAGAAGGCTTTCCCAAGTGATCTTACCTGCACATACTGGAGGATGATGTTTTATATCCTAAGGCTCTAGCACTATGTAGACAAATGTGAACTACTTTAACTTGCACCTGGTATCTCACAAGCAGTGAGATGCTTTCAGTCATGTAGCCACCTCACTTCACAGAAGACCAGTTGTGTTCTGCCCACATTGCTCCTTGTGGACCACTTTCAAGGGCTGCATCCTGCAGAGTGCATTGCTGTTCTGATCCTGAGGGTTAGATCATGGATTACTGAGGCTACAGGTAGAATCGTGAGCATCACCAGTTACAAAATTCCCATCTATTAGAGCACTGTGTCTTAATCTTAGCAACTTTAAGGTTGTGTGAACTTCGACTCTCAGAATTCCCAGCCAGCATGCTGAAAAGAAACACTGTATTAGAGGACAGAATGGTGAAATTGCTCTCTGTTGCCATCTCCAGCAACTAGGATGCTTTCTGTTATCACTTTTTTTTCCCTGAATAGATAGATATGCTTTCAAATGAAAGGTTAGGTGCAACTATTTTGTTTTCTAAGAATATTCACACATTCTATAGTATGTATCCCCAGAATATTCATTGAAAATTAATATGATTCTGGAAGCTGGCCTTTTGAAGCATGACCATTTCCCTATCTTTCCCTTTAATTAAAAGAAATTGGATAAAATAAAAATTATGAAAACACAAAAGTTATTGGTGCCAAAAAAGATATCCATGGGTATTTTGATGGACTTGAGTACCATGTTACGAATCTCTACTGGGTACTATAGCTATTATTGGACAAAAATGTGCTGCAGAAATTCTCAAAAGATTGAACTCTGTTTCCTTATTACTCTTTGCCTAGAATGTTTTTTTTCCCCAGAGATGCTTTTTTCATGAGACAACTGGACTTTCTTGTTTTTCTTTGAAGACGTTTCGCTTCTCATCCAAGAAGCTTCTTCACCTCTGACTGGATGGTGGGGAATGGAAAGAGCTGAAGAAGCTTCTTAGATGAGAAGCGAAACGTCTTCAAATAAAAACAAGAAAGTCCAGTTGCCTTGTGAAAAAAGCATCTTTGGGATAATTATAGCCTGGATGACTGAGAATCTCCATAGACATTTTTTTTTGTTTTTCTTGAGATAAACAGTGCCCCATCTGGAAGTGCAGTTAGCGCATATTTCAGTGTTACTTGGTTAATAAAGCTTCTGTTTCTATGGAAAAAGATGGAATATTTCTAAGAAACATTGAGGACTACCAGATATTTTTGATCTTGCCACTGTGGACACAATGATGTATATCAGACATGTCAAACACATTTTTATCAAATATTATTTTATGAATATTTTATGTGCCAATAAAATATCTTCATCCAGCCTTAAATCATGAATTTTCTTGTTTCTTCTTCAAGTGCCAGTGAGGAGATATGAAGCTCTAAAAGATGAATCCAGTGTTTCCTCCTTAAGAATAGATGATACCTCTTCATCAGGTCAAAAACAAGGACAAAGATCAAGGTAAAAAAAGAAAAAAAAACTCAGAGTTAAAATGTTAACAGTTCCTCTCCAGATCTACAGGCATGTTAGCAAATTCTTGTTTCAATTCCTAGTATAAATAACCAAACTCTTTGAAAAAAGCTACTTAGATATTTATCCCCTCTCAGAAGAAGGTGGATTTAAGCCAATCAAAAGTCCTGCACATCACTCACTTTCTCTAGCTCAGTTTTTCTCAACCTTGACAATTTTAAGGCATGTGGACTTCAACTCCCAGAATTCCACAGCCAGCATTTCTGGCTGTGGAATTCTGGGAGTTGAAGTCCACATGCCTTAAAATTGTCAAGGTTGAGAAACACTGCTCTAGCTAATCATCCCAATTTTTTCAACTCCAGCTGAAGCCAATTCTGAAAACTGTCACTTCCGCCATAATGCACAAATGTTAGCAAATTCTTGTTTCAATTCCTAGTATACCCAAGTAGGTGACCCTCTTATGAATCCAAGGAAAAATACTAATGGGCAGTGTGAATGGCATTGATGCATCAATGACTTAATTTAATGTAAGGCAGATTTCTATACAGTCATTGGATAAGAGTCATGAGGGGTATCCATATAGGCTTCAAGCAAGTCCAGTTTGCATTCCTAATATTTAAGACTGATTTCAGATTTTGCTTGTTATAGAACAGAGAATAAGCAGAAGGACCCAGCCTTTTCTATTATGCAGTTTCTATAATGTAGAACTTTCAATGCTTCTTCCTATCCAGTCTTTAATTGAAGACACATTATATGTCACGGGTGTCAAACTTGCCACATCACGTGATGTGTCACGACGCATCACGACTCTTTTTGCATTGCCGGCAATGGGGTGGGCGCGGCTTCGGTATGATGAAACCGGCCTGCGGGCCGGCAGTTTGACACCCCTGTTATATGTTACTGCCTATGAGAGAAATGCAAATAGTTTGCTTCAGGCAGTAAAGAGAAAGAAGAAAAACAGGCGCCAGAATGCGATTGGACTAGGATTAAGAGATGCCAGTTCAAGTCCATCCCCAATCCCCATCATGTCCTGCAAGGCTTGCAAACTCAGGAAACAAGAACATCAAAACAGTTATCCTGCACAATATAATCCCTAGTATAATAAGGCAAAGTTCTTCTAACTCTTTCTCCTACTTTTCCCCACTCCTGTGGACTTAATAATCTCATATGTAATGACCTTGTTTCTTGCTTATCTGCCTTGCTGTCTCTGCTCTGGTCCTGACATACATAGGCCTTCCTTACATCACAGCCACAGAAGCTCAGTAGATGTCTGGGTGAGTCAATCTCTCATCCCAAAATCGGAGGAGGGAAGACTGTGTACAGGTAGTCCTCAGCTTATGACCATAATTGAGCCCAAAATTTATGTTGCTAAGCAAGACAGTTAAGTGCATTTTGCTCCATTTTACGATGTGTCTTGCCACAGTTGTTAAATGAATCACTGCAGTTGTTACATTAGCCACATACTGTAGTTATTCAGTGAATCTGGCTTCTCCATTGAGTTGGCTTGTCAAAAGGTCACATGACTTTGTGACATTGTAATATTGTCATAAATTCGAACCAGTTGCCAAGTGTCCAAATTTTGATCACATGACCATGGGGACGCTACAACAGTCATAAATATGAAAAATGGTCATAAGTCACTTTTTTTAGTGCCATCGTAACTTCGAATGGTCACTAAAAGAATGGTTGTAAGTTGCTGTAAGCTGCTGGAAGAAAGATGGAATATATGTACAGCAAAGAAATATACTCAACTGATAATAGTCTATAATTTACAGTACTAGTTTGGTCTCTAGCCTGCCCCAGAAAGATATGAATTTCCAAGCAAAAGATGCTACCATTTCACAGACAAATGTACTATGTTGCCCAACTATTTTCACAGTTAAGAAATGTGTCTTGATATCCCCCATGCTTTGGCTTTGCTCAGACTTGAAATGCTCATAGTTCCACCAGTTTGAGGTAGAGACTAAGGCAGAAATTTTTGTGACTCATTCCCTAAGAAATGTGTGGGTGTGCAAGGATTTGTCTACAGCAGAATAAAGAACATTTATTCAGCCCACTTCCTCTCAGACCCTACAATGAGTGGCTTTGCCAGATACAGAAATAAAATACATCTCTGGAATGTGGAGGGCATCCACAGTAGGCATGGATCACCTGTCCCAAATATTAGAGGGAAGCAAGGAACAACCTGCGATAATTGCTCTGGTCACAGCTTATTCACTGAGTTCATTGTGAGCTTCTCTTCAAATCTGCAATGCTGTCAGGCTTCTGCTGTCAAGGCTGTCTTTGCATTTGAACCTTGGGTTGGCAACTTGGGTTCTGAGCCAAGTCTAACCAAAAGTAAGATCCTAATTATGAATGCACTCTCAGTGTTGCATGCAATGTGTTCCTAACATTTTTTGAGTACCTGATGCTATTTACGCTCATTGCTAAGGCGCTTCTATAATGAGGGTCTATTTCTAGGGCCCTCTGCAAACAAGACCGTTACCAATCTGAATGTTGTACCATGTTCCTGGATCATGTGACACTATAGCAGTGGTTCTCAACCTGTGGGTCGGGACCCCATTTGGGGTCGATCGACCATTTCATGGGGGTCGCCAAGCAAGGCTGTCCGCCATTTTTTTTGTCCGCCATTTTTTTTGTCCATTTTTTCCCCCTTTTCCGGCGGGTGCCTTACCTCCCTTGGGCTGGGCCAGCTGGTGGTTGGCCTGCTCCGTCTCTGCCGCTTGCCAGCTACGCCTCGGCCGGCGCAGGGGGCGGAACCACGCATGTGCAGCGCTCCCGGGCAGGGAAAGTTCTCGACTTACGACCGGTTGGGTAGTCCTCGACTTACAACCGGTTTAGTCCTCAACTTACGACCAGTTTAGTCCTCAACTTACGACCGGTTGGGGTCGCGGCATTAAAAAGGTTGAGAACCACTGCACTATAGGATTCCTGCAAACCTTCATCAAAGGAGCCAGTTAACTTCCAGTTCAGCCAGCGCTCTTAAGGAAACACCATAAAGACAGTTTTGCTGCAATGCCTGTGGAGCCGTGGGATAGATAGTTTGCACAGCTAGTCCGTAGCTTATGACCACAGTTGAGCCCAACACTTATGTCGCTAAGCAAGACATCTGTTAAGTGAGTTTTGCCCCATTTTGCAATCTTTCTTGCCACAGTGGTGAAACGAATCATTGCAGTTGTTAAGTTAGTAACGTGGTTGTTAAGTGAATCTGGCTTCCCTTTTGACTTTGCTGGTCAGAAAGTTGTACAAGGTGGATCACATGACCCCTGGGATATTGCAGCCATTATAAATGCTGAACCGGAAATTAACTGGCTTATTTTATGACGACTTGCAGGAATCCTATAGGGTCATATAATCCAGGAACATGTGAATCAGTTGCCAGCTGTCTGGATTTCGATCATGTGCCCATGGGAATGGGGATGCTGCAACCGTCCTAAGTACGAGAAATGATCATAAGTCAGTTTTTTTCCAGTGATGTAACCGCTAAATGAACTGTTGTAAATTGCGGACTACCTATATTGGTAAAAGTTCCTACTTTCTCCTTCATTCTGTGATTTCCACATTCCGTTTGTCCTGAAGTTATGGGCCTGCAGCATCTTTCCACCACCTCCCCATGCTTTCAGAGACTTGGAAGAGGGCCTCTGCATGGTCCTACAAAAACAACTTAGGAAGGTTGTCAGCAAGGACAGAGGAGAAGTTATATGCTAGTTGTTCCCTTGGTTGTTTTTTTGCTCCCTCAATGGGCAGCAGAGTAGAATTTATGTTCTCTTTCTTGGTTCTTCTCAGCCCTGGAGAGGGGTCCTGAAGAGGCAGAGAGCACATTGCAAACATGCCACCAAGAGAGAAGTCAGAATCAACAATTATGTCCATGTGACGTAGATATCATTACTGAAAGGATGTTAGGTATTTTTCATTGGGATTGCATAGCCAGGGAAGACATGCCAGAGAGCATATATCAGTGGTGACGAACCTATGGCATGCGTGCCAGAGGTGGCACTCAGAGCCCTCTCTGTGGGCACGCACATCATGCCCCGGAGATGGCAACCGTCCCTCTTCAACCAGCCGCCCACTAACTTGCCGAGGTCCCATATGGCCAGATGCATCCCAGCATGGCTGGTTTCCCTCCCCCCCCCCGTCCCATCCCTCCTGGCCTCGCATGCTCTCCTTTTCCCGGGCACGACCCACTGCATCGCCTCCTTAGCTCAGAGGTGGCTTCTTTGAACTGCTGGCAGTGGGCTGCACAGCCCCAGAGTGTGCCGGTCGAGGAGCCGGCAGGCTGTGGCTGCTGATGGACACTGTCGGCCCCCATGTGCTCACTGGCCTCTGTGTGCGGGGGCCGATGGTGTCAGGCAGCAGACGCCCCGGCCCCTGCTTCGCTTTACCCTGCGACAATGGCACCCCCGCTCTGCCTCATTTTGCCTCGCCTCACCCTGCAGGAGGAGCCTCCTGCCCACCGCCCCATCTGCCAGAGACCCCCTGGATCTCCCCCAACCCTGCCCGGCCCCCACAGGCGTCCCTCCCCACGAGCAACATTGAGGTGACCACGCCCACCTTGGCCACATCCAACCAGTCTACCATGACCACAGCCATGCCCACTCAGTGGGCCACACCCACCTGGCACCCGGCAATAAATAAGTGGGTTTTGGGTTGCAGTTTGAGCACTCGGTCTCTAAAAGGTTTGCCATCACTGGCATATATCCTTCAGAAGGCACTTTTTACAGAAACATTTGAGTAGTAACTTTTTGTACCACGAGGATAAATGCATCTTCAAAAAAAAAAAAAAAGAAGTGCAGCAACAAATCCTTTAAAAACATACTAATTTATTGCTTTCCAAGTAAATTTATTGTTTTCCAAGTAAATCTTCCCACTTCAAAAATATTGTCTATCCTCTGGAACAGGGCAACTGCACTCTTGTAACAACAACAACAACAACAATAATAATTTGGAATGGACCTTAGAGGTCATCTAGTCCAACCCCCTGCTCAGGCAGG